CCAATGTTTACAAAAGGACACAGAGGATGCAGTATAGGGCAGCATCACTGACCTATCTCTAAAATGAAAGTAGAAATCAAGTATCGAGGATCAAGACACATGAACGACAGTTGGGTATCATTATTGATGTGACGTATCGCCTACATCAGTAGGTTTCTTCAGTCAATTACAGAGGCAGCGGTAGCAATGAAATAAACATGATGGAATTAGTCCCTCATCAACCTCGGAGAGAAAGTATTTGAGGTGGTGAGTCCCTCAACCTGGAGAAGACATGACCGTTAACTAGTTAATGGTCATGTTTATGGAGATGATCATTAAATAGTGAGGATTATTTGTATATAGTAATGTATTCAGACGAGCTGACGAAGTGAAGAATAGCCCTAAGCCCTTGGATCAGGAGCCCTTTAAAAGTATAAAGACAATCCTCTCTGAAAAGAACTTTCCAGCCTTACAACAAAATACACTACACCCTCCCAACACCATACACTACACCCTCCCAACACCATACACTACACCCTCCCAACACTATACACTATACCCTCACAACACCACACACTACACCCTGACAACACCACACACTACACCCTGACAACACCACAAAACTACACCCATACACACCACACACTACACCCTGACAACACCACACACTACACCCTACAACACCACACACTACACCCTTACAACACCACACACTACACCCTGACAACACCACACACTACACCCTTACAACACCACACACTACACCCCTACAACACCCCACACTACCCCTGACAACACCCACACACTACACCCATTGACAACAAACCACACACTACACCATACAACACCACACAAATACACCCTGACAACACCACACACTAAACACCCTTAAACACCACACACTTACACCTTACAATCACCACACACTACACCCTCACAACACCACACACATACACCCTGACAACACCACACACATACAACCCTGACAACCACACACACTACACCCATACAACACCACACACTACAACCCTACAACACCAACAACTAACACCCTGACAACACCACACACTTTCACCCATACAACACCACACACTACACCCTGACAACACAAAAACACTACACCCTTACAAACACCACACACTACTACCCTACAACACCACACACTAACACCCTGACAACACCACACCCTACACCCTCACAACACCACACACTACACCCTTACACACCACGCACTACCACCCTTACAACACCATACACTACACACTTACAACACCATACACTACTCCCTGACAAGACCATAAACTACACGTTTTAACAAAATACACTACACCCTTACAACACCATACACTACACCCTTACAACACCATACACTACACCCTTACAACACCATACACCCCCACCTCCCAACACTACACCCTCCAAACACTACACACTACACCCCCCAACCTACACCCTCCCAACGCCCCCCACTACCCCTTTACAACACCACACACTACACCCTCCCAACACCACACACTACACCCTCCCAACACCACACACTACACCCTCCCAACCCACACACTACATCCTCCAAAACCACACCCTCCCAACACCACACACAAAAACCTCCAACACCACACCCTCCCAACACCGTACACTACACCCTCCCTACACCAACACTAACCCTTCCAACACCTTTACACTTACCCTCCCACCCGCACACTTACACCTCCCAACACCACACACTACCCCTCCCAACACCACACACTACATCCTCCCAACCCCACACTCTCCCAACACCATACATTTACCCCCTCCCAACACTACACACTACACCCCCCCAACACCACACACTACATCCTCCCAACACCACACCTTCCAAACCATACACCAACCTTCCAACACTCCCACACTACACTCTCCCAACACTATACACTACCCCCTCCCAACACAACACACTACAACCTCCCAACACCACACCCTCCCAATACCATACACTACACCCTCCCAACACCACACACTACACCCTCCCAACACCACACACTAACACCAGGCATTACTACACCTCCCAACACCACACACTACACCCTCCAACAACCTCACACTACACCTCCCAATACCAACACTGCACCCTCCCAACACCACACACTACACCCTCTCAAACACCAACACACTCAACACAGCACTACATCCTCCCAACACCACACACTACACCCTCCCAAACACCACACACTACACCTCCAACTACCAGACACTGCACCCTCCCAACCCATACACTACACCCTCTCAACACCCACACTACACCTAGGCATACACCCTCACACTCACACCCTCCCATGCACCAACCACATCCTCCCCAACACCCCACATTACCCCTCCCAACACCATACACTACACCCTCCCAACACCAACACTACACCCTCCCAACACCATACACTACCCCCCAACACCCACACTCCACACCATACACTACAACCTCCCAACACCCAACACTACACCCTCCAACACCATACACATACACCTCAACACCTCACCAAACCCC